AAGAGATGTTCAAGAGATCCCCCCTCCTCCCCGCAGACTAGTCATGGCTCCAGCCCCCTACCCCCCGAGTACTCAATGCCTCACAAGTTGGCAAGACACCGCGAACCATCTGCCATATGAAATACCGCAACTTGGGAGGTATGGGAGCCCCCCAAACCCTTTTTAATAGACTACGATCCCACACTTGCACTTTTGCCTTCACCCTTAACTCCTTATACCTCCTTAGCTCCACTGCTAGGTGATAGCCAGACTTGACCGTATAGCGACTTGATTGCTCTCCATTCCATATCATACGATCAGGCACCGGAGAAATAGGTAATGGAATAGCCATAATAGCTCGGACAATATCCTCCTCAAAGATCTGACGTAGGCAATCCACCCTCCAAACCCCTTGATTTCGGGAAAATTAAAGATGAAACTGATCCCTCGACCCTAATGATCCCCGGACGAGGTGTCGGGGGAGATGGATGCAACGCTGGCGCCCAATTGTCCGTTAGCACATCTATCAACTCACCCGAGCCAACTTGCCATCGCATACCTTGGACCAGCAAATCACGTCCATGCAACACCCCCCGCCAGCCCTAAGAAGGTAAGGATCCAGCCTTGGCCACCAGAATAGAGGAGTTGGGAAAGTACTTACCCTTAAACACCCGAGCTAACAGAGAATTAGGCTCTTTCCAAATTCACCATGCCACCTTTTCCAACAAAGCCTGATTAAACTCCTCAAATCGCCTAAAACCCAAACCTCTTCATGTTTACTTAAGCACAACGATTTCCAAGAAACCCAATGAATTCGCCGCTCACCCTGTTTCACTCCCCACCAAAATCTAGCTAAATGCCTATCCAGGAAACGACACAGTGACTGAGGTAGAAGGAAGCAAGAAATTACATAGATAGGCAAAGCATTAGCAACAGACTTAATAAGGACTTCCTTAGCCGCCCAAGATAAACATCGTTGCTTCCACCCCTGGAGGCGTTGAATAACTCGCTCCTCAATATACCTAAAGGTATCATATTTAGAGTGCCCCACCAGGGACGGCAAACCCAAATATTGATCTGTAACACCAATGGCACTCACTCCAAGCATCTCTTCTCTATCAGCTGCTAACGTATTTCTGCTAAAGCAAACCGCTGACTTAGATAGATTGACTTTTTGACCACTGAGCTCCTCATACTGCTTCAGAACCCCAACAAGGTGTCCACATTCAGATTGTGAAGCTCGTAGGAACAAATATGAGTCATCTGCAAAGAATAAATGCGAGACAACAGGGCACCGGGGGCTAAAATGAAGACCAGTCAAAACACGATTTGAGATCGCCTGCTAGAGCAAAGCAGCGAAACCCTCGGTGCAGATAGCAAACAGTAGTGGAGATAAGGGATCACCCTGCCAAAGAACTCTCGTCGCACTAAAATACCCTGAAGGCTTTCCGTTCATCAAAACAGAAAACGTCAAAGAAGACACCCACGCACGTAGCCATTTGATCCATTGCGCACTAAAACCAAGTTTCTCAAGCAATGCGAATAAAATGGCCATTCCACCCGATCATATGCCTTCTCCATATCAACCTTAAATGCCATGAATTTCTGTTTACCTAGTTTACCTACCCTCTTATTCTTCAGGTACTGCATAACCTCGTGCCCGATCAAGACATTATCCACAATCTGCCTACCACGAAAAAAACCATTCTGCCCCGGGGACACAATAGACGGTAAGTAGCGGGCCAGCCATTCCGCCAAAATTTTTGCTATGACTTTGTAAGAAAATTGACAAATACTAATAGGACGTAGATTCCGCATATGTTCTACTCTGTCAACCTTCGGAATAAGAACAAGCCAAGTATTATTACAATTTTTAAGGAGAGAGCTCGTAGTAAAGAAGTGAGTGACTGCCTCTATTACGTCCTGTCCCACAATGTCCCAAAACTGTCGAAAAAACACACCAGTAAATCCATCTGATCCCAGGGCTTGCGTAGCACCTATCTGAAAGACGCTACACCGGATTTCCTCAGGGGACACTGCAGCAGTTAGTTTGGCGTTCATACGATCTGTCACTCTTCTTTCAATGGGCAACGCAACTACTTTCTCCTGGATCAACTGGGGATCCAAACCACTCGAGGTAAAGAGATCGCCATACAAATCACATGCCACGTGCGCCATGTCATCCTCCGCTGTGACCCAGGTACCCGTAGGGTCATAAATACCCTGTATAAGGTTATGGCGACGACGCGCTCTGGTGAAATACCCTGTATAAGGTTCTGATCACCCTCCTTTAACCATGAAACCCATGACTTCTTGTGCCAGTAGATCTCTTCATCAATCCAAGCTTCCCGCAATTGTTTTCCAGAGCACGAAGCTTTTCCCAATCCACAACAGAAGCCCCTCGAACAGTCTCCCACTCACGTTGAAGGCTTTGAATCTTTCGCTCGGAATTAGTTTTCCCTAATTTGTTCCATTCATACAACATATGTCTTAATTTTTTAAGTTTACACCATAACCGGAACATAGGTGTACCATCGAACATTAGACTCCACACCTCCTGGACGATCTCCCTCACTTCAGGATTATTACCCCACAGTTGATCAAAACGGAACAGTTGTTTCCCACGACGTTGGAGTTGTTCTGTGGCTAGTAAGAGGGCTCTATGATCTGATTCCTGATCAGAAAGATGATGCAATGCCGAATTAGGTAACTGATCCAACCAACCACTCGAAACCAAGGCTCGATCCTGTCGCTCTTGGACCACCCGTTGCGGATTACTTCTCCTATTTGACCAAGTGTAGGGAGAACCGATAAAACCCAAATCCTGGAGTCCCAAATCATCCACAAATTCACGAAAATTGAGTGAATGAGAAGGGCGCCATGGGTTTCCTCCTTCCTTTTCACTTGATGCCAGGATCGAGTTAAAATCGCCAACTATTGCGAACGGTACACGCGAATGAGAGCACTAGTTCTGAATGTACTGGAATTGTAAAGTTCTTTCCTAATAGTCACATCTTAAATAGACAAACACCACCACATAATCCAAATTATTTTTATTGAATTGAAAATCGATAAAAAAAGACTGACTACAAAGAACTGAGACTGAAACCTCAGTGGACCAACCTATAGCTAGGCCGCCGGCAGTCTGCACAGCATCCACAAAGAAAGTACGAGAATTGGAAAACCCAAGACGCCTCATCTGGCGAGCAACTACACCAGCATTCGACATAGTTTCTGAAAGACAAATAACATCTGGCAAATAAATAAACTTCAAATACTTAAACTGCCGAATTGTCGTGACCGATCCAATGTCGCGACAATTCCAAAACATTAACTTCATTTATCCTCTTGGGGCCACTCCCGGCTGGCTTCCTCCACCGCATCTTCATTTCCATCTCCATCTAGCTCTTCTTCACACTGGTCCGCCTCTTGCTCTTCCTCGCCAAGGAGAGCATCATTATCCAGCCCCACATCCTGCAAAGCAAAATCATCAAAACATAATTTTTTACGAGGCAACGACTGGGGCTCCGGTTCTGTCATCATCTCGTGGTTGGACCTCTTCCTGTCAAACATCATCTCTTCCAGCTCACCAATCCCCATCTTGAAACCAGGTTTAGGGCGCAGCGGATGTGATTTGCCAGCACGTCCTGGTCTAGCTTTCGAGGAAACCGAGTCACGGACAGCAGGGGCAGCCTTTGTAGGTTGAGGAGGCTGGGACATTGGCTCCTGTATAGAAATTCCAAAACCCTTGCTCTTGGGCGGACTGCCCCAGCACTCTTCTTACCATCATCTACCACTTTCGCCTTCCCTTTTTCAGCCGCTGTGTAGCGGCGAGTTTGCTGTCCAGCACTATCACCTCGAGCAGGAATTCCATTTTGACCTTGGTTCTGGCCACCTAACGTGCTCTGTTCCCCACCAAGTCCAGCTGTCATAAATTGTTAGAGTTCTTGCAGCGGATGAGATCACTTTCCTGTTCAAAATGGCCTCAACGCCCAACAAGTCTGGGTCTGCCCCAAGGCCACCATCCATTGGAGAATTAAAGAACAAGCATTTATTAATAGAGAGCCAAGAATTACTCGCATCTATTGTGTTCCAACAATCCTCCATTCCCAACAGAATCAACTTATCACATTGATATGGCAACTATAACACCTGGACATTAAAGAGACAGCAACACAAAACCCCTGAAGTAGTGTAATTCATCTTAGCAAGAGGGCAAAACTGGGCATTATGCATGCACAGGGGACAACCAACAAACAAGAATTTCAAATTAGCAAGGCTAGGCATTGAGATTGAGTTACAAAAGCTTTCCAGACCGTCCACATCCCTTGCACTAGACCAGAAAACCACCACCCCAGTACCGGCATCCATAAATTTAAAAGGACAGCGCCAGGAAAACAAAACCAGCTAGTTTAGCTTATTACCCCAGTTAATACACTTCCGATCTACTAAAGTTACCCATTCCATATTGGTTAAATCATTGTTTTCAAACTAAAGAACCACCAGCCAAGTATATAGAATCAGAATATTAGGTAACCCATCAAAATATTCAGCAGGATGAGAGCAGACATTTAAACACGTTGGGAATAAATTTTAAGCCAGAAACCCGCACCATCCATACTAATTATTGTAACCGGTTTAAGTTCTATCAAGAATCTGTGCAAAACAACATGCTGTCTAAACCACAGGGAATGAAATCTCAAGACATTATTCAGCACACCATGAAGCCAAACAAAACATTCAGAGGACCCAGAATGCCTAATCATGTAGGGATTGAAACCAATTGTATGTACAGTAAAGGCATATTCCTCAAATAACTCAAGAACCAAAATAAGATCACGCACCATATTATCTATTCTCACATAAGGTTCAATACAAAAACCATCCCTGTAGCAATTATTATCCATACCATATTCCAATGTCAATGTAAAGCCACAGAAGCAGTAGGTATCAGGGTAAGCAAATAAGTTAAGATCCTCATAATTAATCATCCAATTAACGCATCCATTATGAAATCTACACTACAGGATTAAGGTTACCTCTTCCTCAGGGTGCACTTCATTGTTAGGAGCCAAATCCAGTTGCTCCACCTCAGCCATAACTTCATCCAGCTGGTTCGGATTCAGCCATACTACTCTCATCAGAAGCATGGTATTTTCATCCAGTCTAAAGCCCAGAGGATCGGTAGACAGCTCAGGTCCATACACTTCATTACCTTGGTGACGAGGGAAAGAGCAGATCCTTTCCCCATGGCCAATTCTCCCACATTTGAAGCAGAACATCGGTAGTCGTTCATACTTTAGCACGACTCTAAATTCCCCGAGCCTTGGATTGCTAGCCGTGAGTCTAGTGCGGAGTGAGAGCTTGATGTTGATTCTCACCCTTGACTTGATGAAGTATCCCAGGTCCCCACGAGTACCATACAGACCAGTATCAATTTCCTCTCCTAGCTTGGCAACAAGTCTCCTTCCCAGTTTAACAGTTCTGCATTGAGGCGGAATCGCCCACAGTTGAGCCCAGAAAGGAACCCATGCCAGCCTGTGGAACAACTGCTCTGTCACTGGAGCCCACTCCATCAGCATGAGGACATGATCTTTGATGATCCATGGTGCCCGCTGCAGCACACGATTAAGGTCATTTTTGTCTTTGAACAGGAATTGAAATAGCCCCATGTCAGCTTCCAGAACCGCCACAAGAGCACTGCATCTCCACAGATTGTTGACAATGCGTTGGAGCAAAGGAGTCGGCATGTTGTCCATGAATAATCTTCCAATTAGGCTGAGCCTTGTACGAGCCATACTCTCCTCCACTTCATCATCCTCGAATTCCACGATTTGATCGTTATCTCTTGATGATCCCATGTTTCTTGCCTGAGTCATCCATAATACAAGTAGCAACACAAAAAACCCATAACTAGTAATAACCCCAGCATTCCAGCAATCCCCATAGTTTCACAACTATGCAAATAGTTAAAAATGGAGTTGAACGATTCTGACCAGGTGCGAGCTCGAGCTTGAGGGTTGATTAACGAAGGCAGCAGTTTGTTGATGACGCACAAGGTTGGGATTAATTGGTATCGAAGGAGGTGAGGAATCCCATCCCAGGAGTGCCGATTATTTATAGACTCCTCTGCCCCTCTCTCTTTTGAGAAACGTCGGAGCGCCCACCTCTGAGATACAAGATATCTCACGCGGGTATAGTTACGGATAATCATCCTCTCCGATCTCGATCGGATTCGTAGATATCCAGCGTTCCACCAGTTTAAAAATTCCCCAAGTATAAATCGGATTGCAACGGCTTGCCGATATACATCACAACCATCGCTCAATATCAATTTCCCACAAAGATGGGGATAATCATCAACTCGAAATTGGGTACTCTAGTAACAACTCCACAAAGGGAGACAATCGGCCCAAATCTGGACAAAGAAAATGGATTTTCACCTTGAAAAACCTCTCTGTATTGGAACCCTAGCGGGGAGAAGGGGAAGTTTCCTTGCCGCCCGAAGAGAGCATCGAGAAGGGCTTTTTTAAATCATTTTCTATTTATTTATAACAATAATTAATAGGAAATAGATTTTTACTAGATTAGGGAAATCACAACCAAATCTCATCCGCCTTTTCCTTTTCTTCCGTTTCTTTTCCTTCTTCCTAAAAAGAACCCACGATTGCCAAAAAAATCTTGACGGACCCAGAATTACCGGAGAGGTGTGTCGCCGATAAAATAAAGTAATAATTAAAAAAATTAATTAAAAATTATTAAAAAATTAATAGAAATTAATTCATAAAGTTCACAATGTCATGTTTACTAGAAATGTCTGTAAATACATTCATTGCTTATGTTGCGAAGCAAATCATTTTCGATATACACAACTAAACAATAATTCATTAAATTCGTCACTCAACCGATTTCGAAGTTCATTCTTGATTATCTTCATAGCTGAAATCTTTCGCAGCTTTCAATTGCAACAGGTAAAGTCAACACCAACTTCCAAAAGCAAGTAAAACTAAAGGATAAAAGAAAAGGGAGATGTGGTAGTGGCTCTCGGTAATTAGAAACTAAAACGGGGTAAGGGTGAGTTTTTTATTTTCAATAAAGGAAGGGTCAAGGGGTGGAAACGGTGAGTTTCAAAGGATGGGGTTATGTTTATTTTTTTCCATTGTTGGGTTGTGGTAGGGATGACAACCAAACCCATGGTCGCGGGTACCCGACCTCCTCCGACCCAGTCAATACGGGAATCCCTACATTGACGGGGTATGGGCCGAGTATGGATAAACCCCCCCCCCCCCCCCCCCCCCCCCCCCCCCCCCCCCCAAAAAAGGTTGATGGGTATGGGGCGGGTATGGTTTTTAACTCTCCAGCCCCATACCCATACCCAAACCCGCCCTACCAAGGATATTATGTTATATACATAAAATATAAGGAGTGTATGGTAACTTGTCAATCGAATGAAGAGTAATTAAAAGAAAAAATAAAATGTTAAAATGTAATTGATGGCAACCAAACCTTAATTTCATCCTCTTATGTATTAGTTCCATAATTTTGGGTGGGTAGTATCCGTATTTGTCACCATATTCTATTATTAATGGTGAGTAGTTGTTGGGGCGGTATTACCCATGGGTATCAGAAAACCACAGGTATGGGGATGAGTTTGTAAGACCTTTCACTGCATGGGTATGAGACGGGTATGAGTTTGAATATTTGGAAATGGGGATGAGGTTGGTTTAGGCAAACCCGCTCTATTGTCATCTCTAGGTTGTGGTGTTGGTTACTCTAAAACAAGCATACTTATTTGAATTTACTTATTATTGTGTATTACTCATTAAGATAAATAACTTTATAACAAGAAAATCATTCTCGTATAATGAAAGTGTGTCGCTCACAATTATTTAAGGTGTGTCGGAAGTCCCGAATTAAAAAAATTTGTACAAAAAATATATAGGTACTTCACAAAATTTTCGGGCTAGGGTGTGTCGGACGACACACCCTGCCCTTTACTAGGTCCGCCACTAACTGGACCTCAAGAGGTTTGGAGCAGGAGCAAGAAAATAACACGTTGGCGATGTTACAAGAGGCGGTAATGCAATATAATCAAGCGGCGGCCTGCCCCTTCTGCTCCATGGCGGAATTCCACTTGTAAAATCTTCAAATCTTTTTACCAACCATCTTCCGGGGCAACTCCTTTTTCATTTACTCCCTTGGCTGCACGAATTCCTCATGTTTTTGCATGCCGAATACTTTATGCTTTGGTTTGTTGTGATTTGATTTTTCTATTTCACATACACTTTGTGCAGATCTAATAAGTCATCATCTTTACCAAATGATCCATGCGGAGACAATATCGGGTTTCAAAACCAAGTCAGGAATTTGGTTAGGGGAAATTCCCTGTGTCGTTGGCGACATAGATCAGAATACAAGTCATGTTGTTTAGGGTGAAAGTGGTAGCGGAAGGGATTGTTGATGTCATAACAATTATACCAATACTTGTGGTTTACCTAACTAGTAGTGTTTTATAGTAAATCACTAGAATTAAATCAACAATACTAATATTAAATATCTATCAATTAAAAAAAGAGAGAGATGTGAAAGGGATATATATAGGTTAAAAAAATTTCCCAAGGAATCTAGATTAATAAGCATTTCCCTAATAATTCAATTAAGAAAACAAGGGAAAATAAATTCATTTAATTCTCCACCCTTAGATCTGAAGCCACTTAAAAGAAGGGTCCAGATTTGGTTACTCATTGTTACTCGTCCTAAAGTTACTCACCCTATCTTGAGCGGTCTTTTCCTTTTCTTCCGTTTCTTTTCCTTCTTACTAAAAAGATCCCACGATTGCCAAAAAAATCTTCTACGCCTTCATAGCTTCTGCAACGTAGAGCAGCCGAAGGAGGCTGGAGCTCAGGCAGTTTGGAGTAGGAACAAGGAAACAACGCGCCGGCGATGTTACAAGAGGCAGTAATGCAATCAAATCAAGCGACATCCTGAACCCTTTTGCTCCGTCGCGGAATCCCACCAGCAAAATCTGCAGAGCTCTTCACTGACCATTTTATGGGACAACTCCCTTTTCATTACCTCCCATGGCTTTCCGAATTCCACATGTTTTTGCATGCTGAATACTTCATGCTTTGGTTTGTTGTGATTTGATTTTCCTATTTCACATACACTTTGTAAATACTTCATGCGGAGACAATATCGGGTTTCAAAACCAAGTCGAGAATTTGTTTAAGGGAAATTCCTTGCACTATTGGGGCTCAAGATAGAGTTATCAATAACTAAATTTGGACCCTTCATTTAGAAAATTCAGATCTAAAGATGGAGAATTAAAGGACATTTTTATTTTTTCTAACATTCTTAATCGGCTTATATCTTCTTCATTTTAACTCGAATTTTAATTATTTTTTTTTTCACAGATAGATTGAGTTCATCGTACTCTACAAAATTATATCTATTTTCAATATTTTTTGAGAAAAAAATTATTGCCTCTCGGTACCAACTGCATACCATATGGTATCTTGTTCGTTTTTAATTCGTTTTTGAAAACGTTTGCACAAAAGGGACAAGTTCATCATTATCTATTGGATCTACAAATTTTTGGGGTACGAAATTACAGGAACAAAAAATACCACACAATACCACCCTGGTACGGGGTGGTATCTTGTGGTACACAATGTTAAAAGTCGTAAATAACAGTTAATATGCTTCTGCTATCATGTATTCAACCATCCTATAGTCTTGGTTTGTTCATAACACCATGGTACGCTTTTCAAACCATAGGTATGCTCTTATTTCAATACCAGTCAATACCATAAGGTATAGACTGGTAAAAAATGGCTCAATTTCTTTTGTTCGAAAAATATATCAAAGTGGATATCATTTTGAAGAGCACAATTAATCTGATCTAACTGTGCAAAAAAAATTAAATTTCGACTTAAAACGAGTGAGAAATCGTCCGTCAAAGATTAAGGATGAGAAAATTAAAGACTTTCCAAAAAAGAGAGATGATGATGTCATGCTGATGTGTACGTGTTACTCATGGTTACTGACACCTGATCCGTTCCCACTGTTTGGGACATAGATTCGAGAACAAGTCATGTTGTTTACCGTGAAAGTGGTAACTGAAGGGGATTGTTGTTTGTTGATGTGGTAACAATTATACCAATACTAGTGGTTTACAACTATCATATCGGAACAGTAATTCTGATTGGAAACACTATTACTATCTCTAAAATGTCTACTACATAGAATCAACTCAGGAATTGATGGCAATGGGGAGGGGCGGGTACCTCAATTCTCATGCCGCGCCCCATGCTACTACGGGGCGGGGCGGGTAAGATCGACTCTAACTAATTGAAGAAAAGTCAAAATATGAGAAATATGTATAGATATTGTAAGAAATTGAGATAAAATGAGTCTAGAACAGGGTGGGGCAGGGCAGGGCGGGTCGGAAGTAGATACCCATGCTACTGCGGGTCGGGTAATACCCGCCCCATCGCGGATCAGGTCGGGTTGAAATTGTCATCACTATGAACACTACTGCTATAGTAAAGTACTACTATTGAGAATAATAACTACTACACCATATCATCAAAATCTGTAATATAATCACTACAATTAAATCAACAATACTACTATTAATTTTCTATCAATTAAAAAGAGGGAGAGAGACGTGGATAGATATAGGTTAAAAAAAATTCCCAAGAAATCTGGATTAATAAGTATTTTCCCTGGTAACAACCGTCACTTACTCACTTTCCATGAAATCCGCCCATATTTCCATTAAAACCGCTCTTTTTAGTATTTAATCCACTCATTTTCCGTAAATCATAGAAAATGATCTTTAATTTCCCTATTATGCTTCTTTAATTATAGCCATTAGATAAAAAAAAACATAAATATACAGTTTAGATACCATTTAGCGTATGAAGTTAGCACCCTATCTTCTCCCTACATGTAGGGAGGACCACCAAAAATCGAGCCGAGAAAACACTGATTCTCCTGGAGCTGGATGGGTTCGTAACTAAGCAGGGGAAATAGGTGTACATTTTGTTGTCTTCCCGCTAGGGGTGGCTATTTGGATCGGGACCGGATTAAAAACCGGAAACCAGACCGAGATCGGACCGGGACCGGATAGTAAACAATCCAATCCAATCTTTGGGCTTAGATTTGAGGTAAAAAAACCGGATAAAGACCGGATAAGAGAGCTCAACACCCAAAACTTAAGGGTAATTTGCATAAACGGTCACAAACCTTTGCACTTAGTACAAAACTTAACCAACTCCTCACCCTTTAAGGCTTTAGGCCACTCAAATCCCACAATCTCAATGTAAAATCAAGACCGAATTGGGACCGGACCGGATCAAAACCGAACCGTATCAAGACCGGACTGTATCCAATCCAATCTTCGGTCCTTATATTTTCAAAAAGACCGGACTGGACCGGATCAATTTGGGCTAATTTAACCGGACCGGACCGTATAGCCACCCCTGCTTCCCGCAATTGCCTATTTATTGTCAAATTACTTTTTCAGCAAAAATCAGAATGAGTAGTAAACACGTTTTTTATCATATATTTTCTAATTCTTGTTGGGAGAACTAAAAACAGGAAACGAAATGGGAAGTGAACGGGGCATTATGAAAATCTAGAGTAGATTACTTGCTTGTCAAACAACCTCTTAACAGTTTGTTTTGTATGTCCTTTACTTCGCCATGTCACGAGCCAGATACATACCAGGAATAATATTTCTTCTCGTCTGTACATAAATATTTACAGAGCCGAGACCAGGTTTCCCGAAAAATATTCAACCTTTGGTAATGCTGACCTAATATCCTGTCTATATGTAACCTTCCTTACAAAAACAGCAAGCTACCCTTCCCTTCTTGTAAAAGAATCTTGCCGGGTTAACGTATAGTTTACATCTGCAGGTGCTTCATCCTCACTACTTATCGTTGCTTTTGCTTTGGCGCAAAGAAAGAAGAATGAGGAAATGTATATGGTAACATGCCAGAGACTGCACGAAACAAAGGAACAACTCATATTTAGCAGACCACTTTTTGAGAAGAAGAAAAAAGAAGAAGTGATATGAGCATTGTTGTACTTCTTCTTACCTGTGCCACATCCAGTAGGTTTCACTGCTTTCGAGTTTCCAGCTTGTTGCTGCCACGGCCAAGGCAACAAATCCTGCAATTAGAAATCCCCACCTAAATCGTCTCAACACTGTCTTGATCAAGTTGTCACACCATCTCCTCATGGTTTGCCATCTGTACTCATCAACATTAGGGTTTCACGATCCCTAACTCAGTCCAATGATCCATAAGTATGTGTTTCTCTCAACTGTTACAATAACTTTTCCAAAACCCAAAAGCAAAAGCCGGGGAAGCTCTCCAAACCAGACTTTTGGGAAAAAACTAAAAGCACTTTGTTATACATAAATGCAAAAGCTCTAATTTGACGCATGCACTTTGTAATTCAGCAGAGATGGACCAACAATCTTTTTTATTATTATTACTCAAATGAGATGATTGTAAGCTTTTTACAGCTACCTTGATAAAATGTTCCAGATGAAGTATCCAAAAGAAAGAACAAAAAAGCTCTGGTTTGGAACTTCTACAAAAACAATGCTTAAGATAAACTTTACAATGTCTGTCCTTTTAAACAAGACGTATCTTCTTCTAATTCCGTTATTTCAACTAAATTAGTTAATATTTATAGAAATAAGTACAACTAACAATTCTTGTTATATTAATATTTTTGTTTTTTTTTTTACATATGAAGTAATATGTTAAAAAATAAAAAATCACATAATACAATCTTTCAATCGATAAATAAAAACAAATAAACTAAGATTGGTTAAAAAAGAATATATTCAATCATATGTGAGATTGAGTTGAAACTATTGAGCCAAACTCTCATTACAACACTACATTTCTAAACTATAAGAGTAGATTAGACTCAATGGCCAATGATACCTTAGATTCTAAAATAGGTTTCTACCCAAAAAAAAAAAAGATTCTAATATAGGACTCTATGCACTAACATATTTATTTAAATAGTTGGAAAACTCATAAAGATTATCAACATATAAGAATTTGAAAACGAAAAATACATCGTTCGAATACATGTGATCAAAATATGTGTGATTAGCTGTTCTCTACTTGAATAGTCAGAAACCTAATAAAAATTGTTGACTAAATGAAAGTGCCCTTAAAATTTGAAAGAATTAAAAAGAAACAATTAATGAAACCCTAAACCAATGTTTTTATATACCAGTTCAAACTGGAAATAGAATACACGTGATTTGAATATGCCTGTGATTAGCCGGCTTGTAGTTAAATAGTCGAAAACTCAAAAAATTTGTTAATAGATAGGAATTCGAAAATGCAAAACTCATTATTAGTATATATGTGTGATCTGAATAAGCGTTATATATTTGACAAACAAATCTAAGAAAACATGGAGAAGAATCAAGAAGCATAAGAAAAACATCATCGTTAGCATATATGTGTGACCTGAATATGCTTGATATATTTGTGGAAAAAATCTAACAAACATGGAGAAGAATAGCCATGCTCCATGAAATTGTACCCGAAATCACATCGGAAAGTTCAGTGATATGGTATTGCATAGTAAAATCGTGGTATAACCGTAGTTCACCCGTTAGTACCGTTAAATACCACCTACCAATTTAGCCTTCGATACTGGTACTTTGTGGTTGAACCGCCAGTAAGTCCATCAATAAGCATAAATAAATAAATAAAAATAAAACTAAAGAAAAATGGGAAATGAAAGAAAACCTGACCACTAAGAAGCTCACACAGTTAGCCTTTTGGATCTATAACCCTAAAATTTGGGTTATTTACGATTGGACCGCTTAATGAATAGTAACCATAGATAATTTTGTATCTATATTCTCATTTTTGTATTTTTTGTCATTTTAGATCACTAGTGATTCTAAACAACTACTTCTATGTTTTCCAAACAGATAGCTGAAGCATTTTTCAAACCGGATTCTCTAAAGCTCCAACTATAAGCTACGGCGGGCCAAACAACCCATTAGCCACCACCATCCACTGCATTATCAGGAATACTAATGCATAACTAGACACGGAAATGCCCTCACCTGTTATCTGTGTTCCACCAGTAAGTCGAAGGGAAGGCAAATGACCTGAAGTTGGTGGAGAACTCTATCAACCATCCAACAAAAAGAGCAAGGGTTCCAATTGCTATAACGAGGACAATGTTGGAAGGCCTGCAGAATTTTACTGATGTTATAAATGCTTCAGAACATTTCAGTTCATAAGAGATACTATCCTAAGAATTTTAGCCTTATGTAGTATTAGCTGGATAGACCTCGTTGCTTTAGTTATGGCCATGAGGGCAGTGAGGATGGCAACAACTGTGTGGATTGTCCTCTTGAAAACTTCATCAATGGTAGCTAGGTACACAAAAGTGCTAGCTACAGCCATGAACGAGAGCCAAAAGTCCATGAACTGAAATGTTGACCCAATAGACGTAAATCCATCAGCAAATTGAAAACAATGAGAAATTACAAGTACATATATTCCGAGAGATAAGGATAATTGAATATACCTGTAAGACATTATATGATAGTGCGCACCACGTGCCCACATCACATGCATGATACAACCCACTTGAAATTCCACTAGACGTAAACAAGACCCACTCTGCAAAAGCCTGCAATGGACAAATGATTTTGTTTCAGCAGCTAGCAAACTAAGCAAGGATTCAAAAAATCCAGAAAGCTAAATCTTGTAGAAGGGACACCGGATTATTGGCCAAATAAGCCTCTTTGATCAAGAAAGAAGGACGTCAAATAACAATATCAGACAGCACATTTTCTGCTGGCTTTTATGCATAAAGTGAATTTCAGATCATGAGATAGAAACTTGAGTTCTGGTTGAGAGATAGAATGTGAATGGCAAAATAATTGGGTAGATTTTGAATATGATCCTAGCATTTAAATTGCTCCATCAAAGGACAGCTTGGACAGTTTTTAACTTCCCATTAGGAATTTAAGGGAATAAAAATTACCTTTTGCCGCAGAGCCCAAATTGCAGGAAATACAGCAGCAGCATTGGATGCAATTAGTGCTATTGACTGGCGAACATGCCCTGCAAAAGTTCCATCCACTTGATTAACTGAGAAGATGCTTTGGATAGTTCAATAAATAATATTGAAACAATCTTCAAGAACATGCCTATCTTCCTTTTGGATCAAGCACGGATTTTTACATGAATGAATCAGCCCCCAATAGTTCATAATCAGTAGCTAAGAACCAGTGTGTAAGATGGAAGAACAAGTATGAAACATGGATAGACATTAATGAAAACGAAAACATTAACCTGGCCCGACTCACCTTCATGTGACACAATTTCAATGCCACAGTCAAACCCTCCATGTGTTCGATCACAAGAACAGAAGCTGTAAAAGGGACAGTAGAAACATAGGAAAACCCCTTGTTACAGAGATAAAAAGAAAAAAAACAAAAGTAAGTGATTTATATACTAGCCAGGACATGTCAAAAGGCTTCAGGCTGAACTCCGCACCTATATGATGTCAATCCACTGGCATCCAGAGCCACTTTGCACTCCCCATGGGAAGAGCATTTTTTCGGGCATCTCTCGACTGAAACAGACATGAGAGTCTGATCACTTGACGTGTTGCTGGTGGAGGTATCTGAATGCCTTAATCCGAACGTCCAAATCCCTTCTTTAACATATAGGATGTAGAAATCAACCTTCTGTTCACTTGAATCATACAGCATGAAGAACATGGAACTGTTGCTGTTGCTCGTGGCATTAGCATAATAGTAGTCCCAACTTTCCAGAGACGGCGATCCACCAACTTTAGCATAAATCTCGTAGTTTATCTTTGTCTTCGATGTTATATGTATATGAATATTTCCTCCAGCAGCACCACGAGGTAAATTCAACAAAAAATAAGTCCAAAGGTTTTTGGTTTCTACAGTGCGGGAGAACTTGTCTGAAAGGGGCTCAAGGGGAAAATTTACGGATTCAGAAGACACTGGTCCACTGACTGGCAAAAAATAGGATTCAAAGGGGATGGAATCCTTCCTAATAACTGTCTGCAGAAAATAGTATCATAGTGTGATCGGAAAATGTTCATAGGTGAAAAAATGTTCTCTTTATCTCTAATAAAACAAATTCTTAAGACCTATTATTGATATATTCCACATTGCATAAAGATGACAAGGTGAAGATAAAACCCGACTATGAATACATTACTAACTCTTAACTAAATATCACAGATCCAATGACATAAGGATATACATCTGACCATGATTGATGTTAAATGATTTAGATCAAACACGCTTTGCTTCTACCATTCTTACCTTTCTCTTTTAGGCCATTATACACCTCAAAGAAACATTTTAGCAAATGAAAAATCATGCCCACTGAGGAATTTGATTCCATTGGAACGAAAGCAAAGGATGCATTCCTTATGCCAATAAAAAACAAATTTTACAGAAGCAGTGTACTCTAGAGAAATAAAAAGATGCATAAATATTGCATTTTCACCGTGTTTTACATAACTTATTCCTCGAGTTAATGTATATATGCCAAGTTAACATTATTCAACCTGAAAAACCTGCTAATAAAATAGATTAATTATTCACTGAATAACGTCAAGCTGGAGGGCACGTCCGTCTCTAGAGTCTAAATTGAAACATTCCATGCTTCATAATCATTAGGTGTAGTTGAAGAGCTTACCTCCAGAGCGTGTCTCTCAAAGGTACAGTTGAATCCAGCCTTCCCTGATGGACACTCAAACACTTGCCCGGTAACAGAATAGCAGATCCGTGTTTCATTTCGCATTGCTCCAGGATTAGTAGGTACGATGGCGAAAAACCACCGGCCAAGATTTGGTGAGTTAATTACTAAGGGAGCTTTATTCAAGTCAGAAGAATAATCATGCAGCGCAACTGATGGCATTGCACCATGCCGAGCATAACACATCAAGGGAATGCTACTAACATTCACATTGTCATTTGAGTTAACACTGACGTTTCTTGCTGTTATAGTCAATTGTTCTGGCAGATCCATCACATCTAACGAATAAACTTTCTGTTCATCCACTCCATGGCAAGAAATCCCAGAGTCACCACAAGATATCACACTTTGAGATGTAGTGAAGTCCACATTTGAAAGACTTGCAGCACGGCTATGGTGGTCAAACAAAGAACATGAAAGTGGGTACATTGTTTGATTGCAATATTGACCCCATATTGTGGAAGTCATGCACCCATCGACACTGATGTTGGCACTAAAGGAGTAATCTGAACTGCGAACAATCTACAAACGTCAAAGGATTCGTCAGTTTTCAACACAGGTGTGATGTAATGAGGATATTCAGGAATTGGAGCCCCCTACGTCAGTGTATAGAAACGAGAAGAATATAGACCACAGATGCGATGGTATCAAGTAGGATGACATGAGAAAGAAAAATAAGGAAATGTACATCTATTTTGAGATAACTCTTGTTAAATCTCCAAATTTACTTTCATTGTTAAATAAGTGTCGAAGTACTATTGATCATCAAACTATTCTCAATGTTCAGATTATTTTATATGGCCGGAGATAGCACGCTTGTTCCACTCCATACTTTCAAATTTATGGCCCTTGAAAGAAGAAATTGCTCCTGTGAACAATAAAATGAGCAAGAAACCAATTCTACTTTATGGACTTAAATCTGCTGGAGCAATCTGCCTAATCTAGTTGAGCATAATAAGCACACTTGAGAAACATAATTAAGTCAGAATGCAGGTTATTTACATATTACTCACTAGTTTAAATGAAATGTACCATTTTAGATTGCGTCCTGGTTGGCCCAATGCCATTGAATACACCTAGATACCAGACTCCAGGAGATACCTGGAAAAACAAACTCATTAGTTTTATCCTGCTATGCCGTTACCCGACAGAATCACTAGGACGAGCTAAGTAAGAAATTCACTCTTGTAGGAAGCCATTGAACAGAAAATATCAACATGAGAAATATAAGCGAAAATTGATAACAGAAGCCAGTATAAAAGCTACAGTTCAGCTAGAAAAAGTCAAACAACGATGGACAGAACTTAAACTTGAAAATTGGCATTTACCATTTGGCACAAATGGCCAATGGAAGAAAATATGACAGACCTGCTCATTTGTCACCATCAAGGTGAGGTTTTTCTGCATTAGGAAGCAGTCCACATTCTGAGAGCCTTGAATCTTTTCAAATGCTGCACTAGATAGAGGACCTTACAGTTCCAAAGGAGGATCCATTGTCAGTCAGTTGTCGAATGAGTGAAGGCATGGAAATGGTACATAAGTCAAACAAATCTGGAAGTTGATCAGTTGTGCCAAGGCAGTAAGATAAGATAATTTTGAATAATGATGAATTTGTAGTTTTGACTACTAAAGAGCATTTTCTCATGAACTCTGCAAGAACTTCAAACTAAACAGGAAGGTAGCGTACAAGAAGGATGCATAAAACGACTGAGAACCATCCAATTTATGCCTCACCTAATTCTATGAGAGAACTATTTAAGACATCTGGGAGAGGGGGACTACCATCTCTGAGGCAGAGAATCGGAGTAGTGCTTTTAGGTGATATGGCCTTACTACCCGCATCCTACAAAAGTTTGAAACATAATAAGCAAGAAAAGACGAGGCACTGACAACAACATTCATTTAAGGGATTCCCAGCCACCATTGCGTGATAAGACAAACACAACAATTGCATCACGTACTTGGAGTGGAAGGCATGGCATTAAGAAACTCCAAAAGCAATTAGACTACTCTATTACGTCTCAAGAAACAATGAGAGAGAAAATTGACTACTTTTTAAAAGAAGACTTACAACATCCACGTCTGACACCAAGGCAATGGAAACAGAAGAGAACCATGGTGGCAATTCAACTGAAAGAACAAAGACACACAATGACACAAAAGAGCAAAGAATTTCATGTCAGAAAGGAATATATAAGCTACTAAGCTTCAAGTTAAACATATAATACTGGGAAAAACAAACCCAGTGTAGGGTTGCTCTGGAAAAAGGGCAATAACTAAGCAAGTTATGCAATTCCAGAGACAATATACAAGCAACAATGACAAAATATACTTCACAACTCATAGTAATAGATTCAGCAAAGCTTCGAGAATAAACTGCATAAAAAAAGAGGTAGGCGTTGACCTTCAAAAGGACATTGAAATATTTCTGAAACCCAATTCCCAGGACCAAGGTCAACTCTTAGATTAATTAAGAACATAAGCTGCAATACTATATTGATTATTATACAACATCATACACATAAAAAAAACACAACTACATATTCCTGATTTATTCTTCACGTTCTACAACTCAATCACAGCATCAATATTCAGAATAACAGAACTGAAATGACACTACCATAGCGCAACTCCAATTAACAATCATGGTGCTAATGCCGAGAAACCCGCGATCACCCTCCATTTCCAATCACCAATAAACAACAAAATCCCCTAACTGATCCTAAATTGAATGAAATAAAGCATTTTGATCGCAAAGTAATGGCCATAGCCGCCAATAAACCCCAGAGAAAGCCTCAAACTTGCCGCTCAATCGGCCAAATGCTCAGGTGGGTTATTTTGGCTTGGATTCTAGCTTTTCGAGGCGGACTAGTATGGCTAAGTATAATAACTGGTGATAGTATGACAGACCTCTAATATACCGCAAGTCATAAGGCTTGACCCGAGTTTGAGGATACCGCAGACTGGAAACAGTTAAGGTATCTGAGAAACCCAGCTGCTGGCCGCTTAAGGACTGCGAGAGAGTCGTGAATATACATGGCGATGAAGCAAGCAGCAACATAAGGCAGCTGCTTAGTAGGATCGAGCGATAGCAAGAGCGGCAGAGAACCCAATTCCCTGCCATTTTTATCCCCTACTGTGTTACTTTGGTTTGACAGTTCTTTTATGATAGAGAAGAGAAGCGGCAGAGGGGGAGGAGGGATGGAATGGGATTATGGGAATGAATGTAGAAATATCACTCTTTAAAACCCTTAACTATTCATTTCCCATATAAAAAAGATCCGCTTCTGGGTGCACAAGAAATGTTACGTTTAACCTGTACAAATCATATAAGAAAAAATCCCGAAAAAATATAGACTTTCGTTTGAGAAGGCGTGTAATTTGTTAACACTTTTGATACTACTTTATCTAATAAAAAAATAAAATAAAATATATTTTGTCAATGGGAAACTAGGGAAAGGAAAGGAGACGGCGGTCGTGTGATTTTCTTTTCTTTCTTTCCTTCGGCTCTGGACCAGATAATATCTAAATATGTACCTTTCCGTTTAAGTATGTCCAGAAATTCAAATTTAAGGTTGGAGAATTAAAGATATCTTCTTTTTTTTTTCTTTAATCGGCTCATATTTTCTTCGTTTTAACTCGGATTTATTTATTTTTCTATTTTGCACAGATGGGACGAGTTCCTTGTGCTCTACAAAATGAGATCCATTTTTCAATATTTTTTAGAAAAAAAATTGCATCTCTCGTTACCAACTACATACCATATGGTATCTTCTTCTTTTTTATGTCGTTTTTGAAATTTTTTGTAGAGAACCAAAATGAGTTCATCATGATCTATTGAATTTACAAATTTCAGGGTGAATGATTCGGGCCCAATTGTACACTTTTTATCCCGGTTTCGTTTTGATGTTTGTTGCAGTTGAACTCCAAAAGGGGTGGTTTTACGCGAGGTTTTCCTGTGTTTCAGATCCTAACAGGTGAAACCAACTCCGGAGTCGAAAGTTGGAAGGAAAGAAGCAAAGACCGGGCAAAGAGGAGGAGACAACTGCAGTACACGATCTGCCATGGGAGTTCATGGTCTTATAGGACCGTGAACTGGAGCTACAATCTGTGAGCCAAGGAGCGTCCAGAGAGGGTTTTGAGGTTACAGACGCCAAGGCTATTCACGGTTGCTAAGACCGTGAACATAAGCCACAGACCGTGAACACGGCCAAGAATGTGAAGTGGTGCGTTTTGGTTCAGACACCGTGTTCACGGACGCGTTTCGATGTTCATGGTTGTCAACTCAGGCCTTCAACTGGGCTCGATCTCAGTTTAAAGAGTGAGAAACTTCTTCTTCATCCGATTTTAGAGTGAGAAAGTGACAAACCAAAGAAGAGGAGAAGCTAGGGTTTCATCTCCAAACAAGGATTTGGGAATTCCTCCCCCAAAAGAGGATCTCTTCAACACAAGGAGCAAGGCTTTCATCTTCTTGATGGTCATTTCCCTTTATTGTGTTTTCCCTTCTCTTAGCATGGAGTAGTCCCTTCTTTCACTTGGGTGTTTGTAAACCCTAGCTACAATCATGTGAATGCTTGTAAGAATTGAATGATTTGTGTGTGGTTGTGTTTAATGTTAATGTGGAGGTATTTTTCATGATGATTGTGTGTGCTTTGTTGACCTAGTTTAGAGAGGAGACCTCATTAGGTTAAGAGGCTCAATTAGAGATGGGTGTTTTTGGGCATTGCATGCCTCTTAGGCTAGTTTAGAGAGGAAACCTCCTTTATCCAAAGATTGAGCTGGGTTTCCTTGGGCATTCAAAGCCTCCTAGAGTAGTTTAGAGAGAACCCTCCTTAACCTAAGAGGCCCTATTAGATATGGGTTCCTTGGTCATTTCATGCCTCCTATTCTAGGTTAATTGAGGGCAAACCTCTTATTTCGTGTTAGCACTTAGGCTTTGCTTGTGGGTGGTCGTCCGAACTCCAGTTCGAGGGTGAAGTCTAACCATTCCTTAGACAATAGGTTGAGAAGGTCGCATTAGCGGCTTGGATCATATCCCATTTCCTCAACCTACAAACTAAGAGGGTAGCCATGGTTACTTGTTAGACTTCCATGCGGTTTATGACCCCCTAGCCACACACGGTCGTTCGATTCTTCAAGTCGTAATTGTTAGTTAGGGAGAGCAACACCCAGGTGAAGCCTTCTCAATTAGTGTCAAATCTATTTTACCTTTGCAAAGTACTTTAGTTTTAGACCTTTGTCTTCACCAAAAACTAATCCGCTAGATAATGTTTCAAACAGTCGAAGTAGCGATACATGGGCCGGCCTAGGTTGATATTTAAACATACTTTTCCTATATTGCACCCATCGAAGGTTTATACTTGGGCCTTAGGTGGGATTTTAGTGTGATAGTCAGAGCGAGTCAGGGAACAAAAGACATGAACAAAAAATACCACACAATATCACGTTGGTACAGGGTGGTATCTTGTCGTACACAATGTTGAAAGTCGTAAATGACACTTCTACTATCATGTATTCAACCATCTTACAGTCTTGTTATGTTCATACCACCACGGTATGCTTTATACCATATGGTATGCTATTATTTCAATACTAGTGAATACCATATGGTATAGACTGGTAAAAAATGGATCAATTTTTTGTTCCAAAAATATATCGAAATGGATATCATTTTGAAGAGCACAATTAACCTGATCTAACCGTGCAAAAAAAATTAAATTCTGACTTAAAGCGAGTGAGAAATTGTCTATCAAATATTAATGGGTAAAAATTAAAGATTTTAAAGGAGAGAGAAGGGGCACTGATGTGGCGAATGGTGATTGGGTTGTGCATGGTTACTGACCAGATCTGCTCCCTTCTGGATTGGTAATCATTTTATATTTCGCAAATCGCAACAACTCTCCAAGTTAAAAAATTGTAATTTGCTTTAGTGTCTTAATTTAATTTTTCCCCCACTTATTCCAGTGGATGGTTGATCACTATTCCTGGACGTTGCACAACTCAAGGTTATGCAACTATGCCTAACTATATAAGGATCGCTAGATATGGACTTGGGTGATAGTGCGACGAGGGTTGATGCGGGGTGAAGCAGGGTAATTTTGTCTATTTTTTATTTTGTTTCTTTCCCTCTCTGTTTCTTTTCTGTTCTGTATATAAGGTGAGCTGGATTGAGGGGAGAGAGCGAGATTGAATCAGGGATTTTCTCCTTCAATCTCGCTTATTTCTTTATCAGCACACATCGTCGGCAAGAATAATGTTACTTACCTTACTCGGCAGTTATTTCTGGTTAGATTTTAGCTTCAGCTTATATCAATGTGTGTATACTTGTGTAGAATAGATGCTTTATTATTAGATCATCAATGATATATACCATTGATAACACCTAAAATAGGTGTTATTTAGCCATCATGCTCGAGGCACTTGCGTGCTAAATCATCGTGTTAGGCCACATATCAAGCTAGTTTAGCCCTATTTTCGTTCCTATTTGCAAAACATCCATTTTGGCATGGGTTCATGGGAAATTGACCCCCATTTTTTTGCATTTTATGCTTTTTTTAGTGTTTGTAATGAAATTTCTAGGTCTTATATTCCTCTACGATTGATCTGGAATTGATTGGAGTTCATTCGATCACGATTGGGAAACACAAGAGCAAGAAGGGAAGGAAAAGCACATGTCACGCCGTGACCAGGAGGTGACCATCTTCACGGTCGTGAACTTCGGCAGGCAGCCAAAAAGAGGACAGAAGGTCTCAACACTTGACTCGCAGCCAAGGAGCTTTTCGACCGAGAAAAAGATCGTGATTGTGACTCAAAGATCCCAGCCGTAATCTCATGATGGAGGTCGTGATCTCGAAACACGAAGACGATGACAAGACGCAAAGTTTCATGCGATTCTGCGCCGTTTAAGCCTAAACACGGCCTAGTCACACCTAGGGCATGCCTTGAGGCCGTGATCTGCACCAGAACTCTATAAATACCCCATTTTCTACACTTGGCGAATTGGAGTCGAAATAAAGTGAGAAATTAGGGTTTTGGGTAGTTTTCAGAGATGGAAACACCTTGAAGAGCTTGGGAAAGGTCAAATCCATCAAGGATCAATGAGGAATGAGCAATCCAAGGAGAAGAAGATTATTCCAAGCATTTCCCATATTCTTAGTTTGTATTTCATTTTTCTCTCTATGAGTTGAATACTAATGGCTATTTAGGGAGATGAACCCTAGCTTAGAGTTTGTGTATGGGTCATATGTAAGCATGATTATAAGCCTATTTATCCATGGCTACTATTGTTTGTGCATAATAATCTCTTGCTTGATTGTGATTAGTTTGTTCTTAACCTAGGTGAGAGTTACATCCCCTTAGGTCAAGATTAGCATAAACATCAATTGGTGTGGGATTGTTTGTATCCCATTTGCCTTAGTTGCAACCTATATAATAGGGAAATTTTCAGTGTCTTCATATTAATTTATGGTATAATTGCGTTTAACTAGGATGCTTAATGCTTCTAATTAGGGTTTAGATGTGGGTGAATGATTCTTACATTAATTGGTTGACCTAGAGATCTAGCTAGAGGTCGAGGTGACCATCCCCTTCTAGTTAGATTTCACCTAGTTGATGCTTGTCGAGTAAGTGTGTGACCATCGACTTCCCCGACTTGTGTGCGGATAGATATAAGTCGTTTAGAGGAGGTAGAACCACATGCCTAGTTATGTAGATGCTTGGTCCTAACTACCACATTGGCAATCAACGACCAAGTATAACCGATGACCTGGTGTAGAATAAGGTAAGCAAAAAATAAAAATTTGTTGTACCATAGGGCTCATAGGTGTACCATACTTCAGGGTTTAGGTTTCATTTTCTAGCCAACCTAAAATAGGGATTACGAAAACTAATCTAACTAACCTAGATAATTACAAGTGTGAGCCTTCTTAGGTCTGAACCCCCTAGTTCTAATACGCCCCTGGGGGGGTGTATGTTATCAAAGTCACGCAGCTAACGACTCAATCGAAGAATCGATTGAGCTCGAATCAAGAACGATGTGTTCTTAATACGAACTTGGATAAAACGGAACCAACGGACAATTCCACACCTGGGGAAAGCTCGTATGGTATAAAAGGGTAGCTGCTC